GACACAACATCTTTGTTGGTATGTGGTGCTGAGGATCGAACCCGGGCCGTACGCATGCCAGGCGAGCGCGCTACCGCTTGAGCCACATCCCCAGCCCCTGCAAAAAGTTTTTTTAAAATAAAAATTTAGAATGTTTACTAACCAGTGATTATTTCCAGGATGAAGAGTGTGTGCGCCTTGATAAAGAGAGATTGGCTGCTCGTTTGGAGGGTCATAAGGAAGGGATTGTACAAACTGAACAGATCAGGTAAGAATTTTTTTAGTACCAAATATGGAGTTTAGGTATATGTAAATATACATAGAAAAAGGGAAATTAAAATGCTTCCCACACTTGCATTTACCTCTTTAATTCATTATATGCCTCTGTTCCCCTGATTTCAAAAGAATACATTTTTTCCCTCAGTATCCATAGTGGATTGGTTCTAGGAGCACCCTCTCACCCCTTATACCAATATTCACAGATGCTCAAATCCTTTATATAAAATTACATATTGCTTATAGATACCCTCTGCCATATTCTTTTGTGCACGCAGTTTACTTATAATGCCCAATATAATGGAAATGGTATGTAGTAGTTTTACTGCATTGTTTTGGAATAATAACAGGAAAAAAAGGTTTGTACATGTTTAGTACATACAGTTTTTTTTGTTTTGTTTTGTTTTAATATTTTCAGTCTGATGTTGGTCGAATTTACAGATGTGGAACTCATTGGTCCTAAGGACTGTGAGGGCATGTTTTATGATAGGATGGGTTGGAAGCCATATGCTTATCTTGTTTTCTAGAAAGCCTTCTTCATTATTCTTTTACCACATTTGTGTTTCTTTTTAATAATTTTTACCTTATGCCACTTAGTTTGTTTAAATTATTTTTTGGTATCAGGGATTGATTCAGAAGCACTTGACCACTGAACCAGGTCCCCAGCCCATTTTATTTTTACTTTCTGTCACCCAGGATTGAACTCAGGAACTCAACCACTGAGCCACATCCCCAGCCCTATTTTGTATTTAATTTAGAGACAGAGTCTCACTGAATTGCTTAGCACCTTACCGTTGCTGAGGATGGCTTTGAACTCTTGATCTCCTGCTTCAGCCTCCCGAGCTGCTGGGATTATAGGCATGTGCTACCGTGCTTGGCCCTTTTTATTTTTTGAGATAGGGTCTCACTAAGTTTTTGAGGCTGGCTTTGAGCTTAGAAATCCTCCTGCGTCAGCCTTCCAAGTAAGTCATTGGGATTATAGGCATAATATATAATATCAGACTGTGCCTGATATGCCACTTATTTTATAATATAATCTCTTGATTTGTAGCAGAAATCAGCAAACTTTCTGAAAGTGCTGTATATATATGTTGGCTCTCTAATAGTGATTTCTGCATCTGTGGATTCAGCCAATTGTGGATCAAAGATATTTGGAAAAAATGTGTCTGTATTGAACATGTACAGATTTTTTTTCTTGTCCTTTTTTGTCCCCCACCCAGTACTTGGAATTGAACCCAGACCCTCTCCATAGACTAGTCTGGTGCCTAGCCACTGAGCTACATCACCAGCCCTTTTGTCATTATATTTAAACAATATAGTATAACAACTTATTTGCAGTATTGGGGATTGAATCGATGGCTGCTTTACCACTAAACTACATCCCCAGCCCTTTTTAGTTTTTGAGACAGGGTCTCACTCAGATGCTCAGGCTGGCCTCAAAACTTGAAATCCTCTACTCTTAGTCTTCCAACTACTCCAGGCCAGTGTAACAACTTTTAACATAGTATTTGTATTCTGTTGGGTGTTAAGTAGTGTAAAGATGATTTAAAGTGCATGGGACAATGTGAGTAGATTATATGCAAACAATCTACAATTTTATAAAGGAAACTTCAGCATCTTTGAATTTTGATATCTTTAGGGAGTCCTAGAAACAGTCCCCTGGGATACTGAAGAACAAGTGTGTTAAATATTTTGACTTTGCAGGTAATATTATTTCTTTTGCAACTACTTAACTCTTTTTATGGTAGGGAAAGCAGCCAAAGATGACACAAAAGCAAGGGTGTGCCCAGATTTGGTCTGTAGCTTAACTTGAAGATGCCTGATTTATTTTTTACCTTTTTTTTTTTTTTTTTTAAATATGGTACATTATACTTGTACATAATGCGGCATTTGTTGTTACAAATTCATATTTAGATGCAGTATAACAATATAGCTAATAGCACTCTCCAGAGTTTCCTGGACCCCTTCCCTCCTCCCATCCCTGGTCCCTTTTCTCTATTCTAATCTCTGATTTTTCACAAGATTTGCATACCCTGCCTCCATCTTTCTTTTCCTTTTTACTCTCTTTCATGTAAGAGAGAAAACATGATCTTTGGCTTTCTGAGTTTGACTTATTTCGCTTAACATCTGATTTTTAATATATTTAGAATTACTTCATAATGTTTTCTTTGGCATAGTATGATTCTTAAAAATTCAGTGCAGGAATTTTTTTTTCTTTTTGTGATAATGCTGAACTGAGGTAGATCCCAGTTCCTTGTGCATGCTAGGCAAACACTATACCACAGAACTACACCCCCATTCCCAGTGTAGATTGTTAAAAGCTTTATTGTGGTGTGTAGGTAACATACAATTAATTTTGTGTATTTAAAGATAAGTTTTCATGTATGTTTACACCTGTGGAACATCTTATCATTCATAAGAAATGAACATAACATCCCCCCTTAAATTTCTTGTGTACCTTTGTAATCCTTAACACCTGTTCCTGCATCCTCTTCCTAGGCAACCAGTGAGTTGCTGTTAGTAAGGATGGATTTGTTTTTTTCTAGAATTATATGTAAATGGAATTGTGCAGTAGTTTGTTTTTTTTTTTTTGTGTGTGTGTGTGTTTCACTTAGCATAATTGGTTTGAGATTAATTTTGTTGGTGGGTCTATCATTAATTCATTCCTTTTTTATTTGAGTGTTCTTCCATTGTATATAAGTACCACAGTTTGCTTACCAGTCACCTGTTGATAGACATTTCACTATTGGTCTTTTTTTTTTTTTTTTTTTTTGGTACCAGGGATTGAACTCAGGGGCACTCGAACTCTGAGCCACATTCAGCTATTTTTTAAATTTAGAGATAGGGTCTCACTGAGGTGCTTAGTGCCTTGCTTTTTGCTGAGGCTGGCTTTGAACTCATGATCTGCTTGTCTCAGCCTCCCAAGTTGCTGGGGTTACAGGTATGTGCCACTTCATCTGGATGTTTTTTGATTATTACAACTAAAGTTGTAAAAAAAAAAAAAAAAAAAGAAAGCTGTGAGCATTTGTGCTCAAGGTTTTGCATGAACGTACACTTCCATTTCTCTTGGGTAAGTACCTAAGAGAGGAATGATGGAATCATATGGTAGTATGTACTTAACTTTTAAAAAATGATTAAATTAATTAATTAATTAATTTTTTAAATGAAGTGCTGAGGATTAAGCCCAATGCCTCACACATGCTAGGCAAGTGCTTTATCACTTAGCCACAACCCCCGCCCCCAGACTTAACTTTTTAAGAAACTGCTAAACCATTTTTCAAAGTGGTTGTATCATTTTACTTTTAAGTCAGCAGTGTGTAAGAGTTTTTCCATTCATGCCAACTCTTTGTATAGTCAGACTGTATAGTTTTAGCAATCTAATAGGTGTAGTGGGTATTTTGTTGTGGTTAATTTTGCATTTTTCTCATGATTAATGATGTTGTAAGAAGCGTCTTTTCATAGTCTTAATTTAACTTCTTTGGTGAAAGGTCTTCAACTTTTCCCCTATTTTTTTTTAATAGGTTATATGATTTCTTAATAGAGTTTTGAAAGTTTGTTACATATTCTGGATATGACTGTTTTTGATGCAAGGGATTGAACCCAAGGGTGTTTATCCACTGAGCCATGTCCACAGCCGTTTTTATTTTGAGACAGAGCTTTGCTAAATTGCTTAGGGCCTTGCTAAGTTTCTGAGGCTGGCTTTGAACTCTTTAATTGTCCTGCCTCAGCCTCCCGAGATGCTGGAATTAACAGATGTGTGCCACCTTGCCATGTGAATTTTTTATATTTTCTTTGTGAGATTGAGGAAATTTTTTTTTGTTTTTTAAATATTTATTTATTTTTAGTTTTTGGCGGACACAACATCTTTGTTTGTATGTGGTGCTGAGGATTGAACCCGGGCTGCATGCATGCCAGGCGAGCGCGCTACCGCTTGAGCCACATCCCCAGCCCAGGAAATTTTTTTTTTAAGTTGTTGATGGGCCTTTATTTTATTTTATTTATTTGTATCTGGTGCTGAGAATCAAACCCAGTGCCTCACACATGCTAGGCAAGCGCTGTACCACTGAGCCACAGCCACAGCCCTGAGGAAATTTTTTCTATTTTTAGCTTGTTGAGAGATATTTTTCCCATCAGAAATCAAATGTTGGACATTGCTAAATGCTTTTTCTGATTATATTGAAATGATCATAGGGTTTTTTTAGGGTTTTTTTTTTTGTTGTTAAAATGGGTAAATTAATTTTGCGAAAGTCTATATTCTGGCGATAAACAACATCATCTCTTTTTTAAAAAATGTACATTTAATAGCCCCCAGTAGCTCTGGATCAGGAATTTTGGCATGACTTGGCTCACACCTTAACTTTCAGCCTCACAAAGCTGCAGTTAAGGTGTTAGCCAAGACTCTAGTTTCATCTGTAGGCTAGACTGGGGGAATATGCTTCCCATCTCACTTGTGTGTTCTCATTTAAAAAATTTTTTTTTTCTTTTTATGAAATATACATTATTTCTTATGGCTTCTTTAAAATTTCTCTTGCTGATTTTGAGCTATTTAATTATGACATAGTTTTGGGAAAACTTTGTGTTTCTTGTGCTTGCAGTCTCTTGGGAAAATATTTGGGTTAATTTTTATTAAATTTGAAAAATTTTGGAGCCTTGTTTCTTTGAATTTTTCTGATTTTCTCTTTTTGGAGTTGACTTGCTTAAATTCCATTTGATGTCATTTGAGAGGTCACTTGTTTTCTTTTCTTCCCTTTGTTTTTGATTCTTTATTTCTATTTTTCTCTTAAATTTTTTTCAAAATTGTACTTTGGATAATTTTTTATGTATATTCAAGTTCAGTGATTTTTTTTTCTGTAATCTTATGTATTTTTTAAATTAATTGATTTATTTTTATTTATAAGTGAACACAATGTCTTTATTTTATTTTATGTGGTGCTGAGGATTGAACCCAGTGCCTCATGCATGCTAGGAGAGTGCTCTACCTCTGAACCACAACACCAGCCTTTATGTATTGTTTTTAATATCTCTCTGTTTAGAACTTTCATCTCTAAAAGTTTGTTTTGCTTTTTTAAATTCTATGTCTCTACAACTTGTTGAATACATGAAATGTGGTTCTACTAATTATTGATTAGTATTTCTCTTCATTTTGTTGCATATTTTCCTTATTTGCCCTGAAATCTTTGGCTGGAAACCAGACATTGTGCATTTTACCTTGTTGAGTCCTAAGTATTTTTTTTTATTTCTCCAAATTTACTTTAACTTTGAATTGTTGCACAGTTAAATCAACTAGAAACAGTTTGTTACTGTGGATTTTTAGTTTTAATATTGTTATTTTAACAATGGTCAGTTATAGTAATTTTTCTTATGGTAATTATTTCTACCCACTGCTGTGGCAAGAATTTTCTGAGTACTCTTACTTTTTTTTTCCCTTTCTGGTATTGGGGATCCAACCCAGGATTGTTGCATATGCCAGGCAAGAGCATTTGCCACTGAGACTGAGTTCTCTTCCTAATGACCAGTGAACATGAACTTTTCACTTTGGTTGAGGAGAACTCCTTGTGAACACTGGGCATGCATTATTCCCTCCAAACCTCTGGGGTAGTTCTTTTACTTAGGTTGAGATGGTTTCCTCATACTTACATGCTAATCCATACTTTGTTGGGAATACTCAAGAAGATCTTCTTCAGTTCTTTTTTCTCAGAAGCTCTAGCCTATGAATTCCAAAGTCTTGGATATTTTCAAGGCAGTAAGTAGAGGCAGCTGTCGGAATTACCTTGTTTTTTGGTCATTTGTCAGGGAATCACTATCCTTTATGACTTGGTAGCTAGTGTGTAGTCATCCATTGTTTCATGTATTTTGACATGAAAACTTTTCAAGTTGGAGGGATTAATCCTGTTTCTTCATCTTGGCTAGAAGTCTAATAATTGAAAGTTTAAGGCAGGCTTGATTAAGTAGTTTTGAAAAGTATTTGAATTTGTTTAAAGATACTTTGGTATACTCTAGGTTTTAGGGGAACATTGTGTGATGTTATACAAAATGAGTCAAATATCTGATGTGTATTGCATCTGCTATAAAGTACCTGCATACCTATTCTAAATAAAATTAGTATATTATATAATACTACTGTATTTAAACCTGCAGGAATTTCCATCCTTTTTCCAGATCTTATGTAAACGTATTTCAAGATTTTCATCTTGTGACTAAAGTAATATTTTTGTCTACAGTTATTAAGGTACTCAACCACTTTTTCTCTTTGTCATTTTATATTACAAAAACACTGTGCTTAAGATTATCATCTTATGAAGTCCATACTTTCAGTATTAAGAGTTTTTTTTTTTTTAATAGTTTTCGAAAGCATGGTCTTTCTTTGCTCTTTTACCTATTTGAAAATCAAGTAAAGGGAATATTAAGAAACTTCAAAATATGGTAGATATTTTAAAATGATTATGTGTTTTTTGTGGTATTAAAATGATTGTGTGTTTTTTGTGGTATTTAAAAACCTCCTTCATCTATAAAATATGATGTGTACAATGGCATGTAGGTTTGTAACCTTGAAATAAATTTTAAGGAAAATCCAAGCTCCCGCACTTTTTACAGGTTGAATTTTTGGCCCCCTTACAGGTGGCATGAGTGTGTGTATCTGTGTGTAATTTCCATAGATATAGAGCTAGAGTAGGTAGTAAAATTTCTTAAAATATGAAAAAAAGCACCCATATTAATGAATTCAGGTCTTTTGAGGGAGAGATGAAAAACTTCTGAGGAATTTTGTTGAGTTGATCTTTCCTATGAAAGTATGAATTTGTCCAATAGATATTGTCTGTGTGTGTACCCTTATCTATAAAAATCTTATATGATTACAGAATATCAACTATGTCAGTTTGAGATGAGAAGTGCCACTTAAAAACAATTTTACCAGAAATTTATAAATATAACAATATATGATATGTTCAAGGAAACTTTGCTGTCAGAATTAAAAAAATAAATTGCTTTTAGGTCTTTGTCTGAAGCTATGTCAGTTGAAAAAATTGCTGCAATCAAAGCTAAAATTATGGCTAAGAAAAGATCTACTATCAAGACTGATCTAGATGATGACATAACTGCCCTTAAACAGAGGAGTTTTGTGGACGCTGAGGTGGATGTGACTCGAGATATAGTCAGCAGAGAGAGAGTATGGAGGACACGAACAACTATATTACAGAGTACAGGAAAGGTAATAAAAATATTTCACCCACTTGTAAAATGAGTGTGTATGTTTAATCTTTTGATTAGTTGTAGAATTGGTTAAAATTTTATACTAGGAAATTTCATGTTTTATTTCTTTGAAAGATCAGGTGTAATGTAAATTGCCAAATGGCCATATTTACCATTCTATTATTGGTCACCAGAGAAGCTGTGTGAGTTAAGATACATGCCCCTTCACACGTCTTTTTTAAATATGGAGTGTCCCAGTTCTCTTTTGAATCAGATTTTTGCCTGAACTTCATAATTAGAGAATATTGAATGGCGAGCTCTCTGATCATCAGAGAACTGATACCATCATTAATTTTATTCTTATAAAGTAGAAAACTTACAGAAATCACTAAATATATATTGAGTATATTTTAAACATTAGATTCTATTTTAGGGATATAGAATTTTTTTTTATTATTAACCTCCTTATTAGCGGGGATATTTTTGTTTTGTTTCAGCATGTGGGGTTGGTTTTATTTTCTCCTTTGCTCTGCTCCCCCTTTCTTTTTCTTCCCTGACTCCTTTCTTCTTCTGTTTTCCTCCATTTTTCCTCATTCTCTTTTTCCTTCCCTTTCTTTTCATTGTTAGAGATAACACATTAAAAAAAAAAAAAACCTTTGTACATGTGTCTTTTTCATTTATGTCCATACAACTTAAGGATTCTTAAAAACAAATTTTTGATCAAAAAAGATGTACATTTAAAATTTTGGAATATAGATATTTGATTCTGGATGGTCTGGTATCTTAATAGATCTCTCAAAAAATGGATGCATTAATTCTGTTTTATTTACATGTTTTCATCTACGTCATCCAGTCCTCATATCCCAATTCCCCTTACCCCAGATTTTCTCTTTCTCTCTCTCTCTTTTTCTCTTTTCTAGAACCACTTAATCACTGAGCTACACCTCCTAGCTACTTTTATTAATTTATTTATTTTTGGGTACCAGGAATTGAACTCAGGGGCACTTGACCACTGAGCCACATCCCCAGCCCTATTTTGTATTTTATTTAGAGACAGTCTCACTGAGTTGCTTATTAGTACCTTACTTTTGCTGAGGCTGGTTTTGAATTCTTGTCCTCCTATCTCAGCCTCCCAAGCTGCTGAGATTACAGGTGTTTGCCATCATGCCTGCACTACTTTTGTTTTTTATTTTGATATAGAATCTCACTAATTTGGTTAGGTTCTTGCTAAATTGTTGAGGTTGGTCTCCAACCTGTGATCTTCCTTAGCCTCCTGAGTTACTGGGATTACAATACGTTCTCTCTTAGTTCTCTACTGATGCAAAGTTGGTAATAGTGATGGTCTGATAGGAACATTTGAAGAATTGTGTGGGATTATTGATGAAACTGACTTTAACATTGTTTGAGGCAGAATGATTTTGATTGTAGAATGTTGAAATTTTAGCTTTAAATTTACTGTGCTATCTAAATAGGAATATAGCTACTTGAAAAGACTGTATATGAAAACAGTTATTTCCATTTCTTTTGTATTTTGACTTACTTCAAAAAGTACTTTTAACAGCCATTCTCTAGATCTTAGAATTGTAGATAAATTCGAGCATATGAGTAAACTCCCATTTTCCATTTTTGTTATTTATAATAAAACAATATTATATTTATTTTCATGGCCTAATATGGCTAATACTTGAATAATACTGTGACTTATTGTTTTAATTATTGAAAATCTTAAATTTATAGTAAGGAAATAAAACAGGTGATATGCCTCTCCTTTCTTTCAAAACAAAAATTAAATTTTCAAATAACTGAGGTGAGTAATTTTCTTTGAGCTCTAGATGGCAGGATTGTACCACAATTTCAAAACTGTGTTCTAATTTAATACAGTTTGTGAGTACCATTGTGTCTTTTTAAAAGTAAGTTAATAATTAAAAATTGTTTAATAACTGTACCTCTGTGATTTAATCTTCTTAAATATAAAACCATATTTGGACTGATAATCAGTTTGTATACTGTTTTTATCTGTTAAGCTGTGAAAAATACTGTTAAGTACTTAGAGTCCTATAAATTTTAGAACATCACTGCTGCTAATTATTAAGGTCTTCTTATTTTCTGAGTTTTAGGGGGAAAAGACAGTAAAAAAAGGATAGGTGGAAACTTTCATGAGAAATACGAACACATCTTTTTATATAATTAAATCATTGCAAGCACCCCAAATAAAGTAAACTGACTTTACTGTGCCATTAAAACATGTTTTTAAGCTTCTACAAATTAGTATATGCCTTATTCTATTTTGTGCTGCTAAAAGCAGAATACATACTATAGACTGAATAAATTTTAATGAACAGAAATGTATGTGGCTCATGGTTCTTAATGCTGGGAAGTTTAAGATCAAGGGACCACATGTAGTATGGTCTTCTTACTACATAACATGGTAGAAGGTAACACAAGCATGAGAAAGAGTGAGGGACAGAAAGATAGAAGGGGATTGAACTCATCCTTTTATCTGAAAGTCACTCCCATAGTATGTAATCCACTCAATTCCTGCTTGATCAGTATGAAAGGTCTTAACACTATTGCACTGAGGATTAAGTTTCCACCATATAAATTTTGCAGAACACAAACCATAGCAGTATAGGGCAAGTGACGATAATTACTTGTAATTCTACCAAACAACAAATAGGTAATAATAACATTTCAATGGATTCTTTTAGAATTAGTTTTTTTCAGTATTTTATTATTTTTAAAGTAGTGAGATATGATCTTCTTTTTTCTTTTTCTTTGGCACTGGGGATTGAACCCAAGGGCACTCAACCACTGAGCCACATCCCCAGCCCTACTTTGTTCTTTATTTAGTGACAGAGTCTCACTTAGTTGCTTAGCACCTCTCTGTTGCTGAGGCTGGCTTTAAATTTGTATGTTCCTGTCTCAGCATCCTGAGCCAGTGGGACTGTGGGTGTGTGCCACTGTGCCCGGCAAGATTGGATTTTCATAATAATACTAAGGTTGTATTTGCATTTCTTACTATTGGCCTTCAGTCTGGTGTAAAAGCAATAGCTGGTAAAACTGGCTTGAAACAAGGCAGTGGCATCAAACTTTATTAGTAAGCATTGTGTTCTTGGGGCTGGGGATGTGGCTCAAGCGGTAGCGCGCTCGCCTGGCATGGGTGCGGCCAGGGTTCGATCCTCAGCACCACATACCAACAAAGATGTTGTGTCCACCGAGAACTAAAAAATAAATATTAAAAATTCTCT